AAAGAAAAGCCTGTAATAGTTCTAGGTCTGTTTGTTGACCTTTAGGAATCTGCTGGTAAGCACTGTAGGCTTTAGCAGGTGAAGGCAGCCAGCCTTACTGCACAGAGCCCCTTCAGAAGCCTGTGTAGAGCATGAGTGGCGATAAGACACGTACTAACTCGCAGAACCAGATCCCAGAGTTGGCAAGGAGGAGACTCCACGAGCCACAGACACAACAGATGAGGGTGCAGGGTGGGTCGCAAAGGCAAGTTGCAGGAAAGAATTTAATCTTTCTGGAAATGAGGGCCCACAGCCCTCTGTCTGAGGAAGTCAGGTGGGTGTATGAGGGGGTATGAAAAAAGAGATTGCTTAGCAGGAATGGGGCTTCAAAAAGTCTGTGGAAGAAATAGAATTAGAAGGAAATAGAAATTTCCCATAAGACGTTTGAGGCCTCCTCGTAGTTATGGCAATTTTTAAACCGAAGGTAGGCTGTGCTCTTTTTAGCAGCCCTAGGAAAATGCTGGGAAAGTGCAGTTGATGGGACATCTTGTCCTCCCACAGGAACAAACTCCCCGAGAACAGGGATTTTTAATCTTTGTCTCTGTCAATTCCAACTGCGCCTGACAAATATGAAGCCACCAGGGTGTGGTTGATGATATAATCAGGTCAAGGAATTGGAAGACTTGAGAAACTAGGTGTTGATGGGGAAGATAAAGAGAAGTTTCAGTGTTTATGATGGAGTTGGAGTGGAGGATAAATATTTGGCAGAGCATTCTGAGTTCTAACCCAGGGAAGGCAATGTGTGCCTGAGAACGTTTGGAAATTAAGCTAAGCCTTATGAAATCAGCTACCAAACAAAACTGAAACACGTTGCCATCCAGTCAGTTCTGAAAAGCGTCGGCTCTGCCAGAGAAGAGCTGCTGCTCCAAGGGCCTTCTTGCTGCGACCTTTTATGGAAGCAGATTACCAAGCCCTTCTTCCGTGGCGCTGCTGGGGGGCGTTCAGAACAACCTTTGGGCTAAAAGCTGAGCAGTCTGGCCAGCCAAGAGCCTTGGACCTGGACTCCAGATCCAGTGGTGAATTGTCTGAAGGGAATGGGAGATGAGAATCAGGTTTAATTTCTCAAGAGAAAGGCTCTCCTCAGAGCTGGTGCTCTGAATTCGAGCTCCTAGGACAAATTGGTTTGTGAAAGCCGTCTGTCTACTTGTCTTTCCGTTATACCAGCACTACAGAAGGCAGGCAATGTAGTGCCCTCAAGATTGCCAAGTATGTTTATCTATAGATAATGTCATACAAATTGAGTTGCAGGTTAAAAATTGTAATACTTAATTTAAAAAAACAGCACAAAGATCTATTAAGTGCACTTTCAAATAAGCGAAATCTGGAACAGGTTTATTATAATCTGCAAGACTAAGTCATTTTAATTTGTGCATGCCTTTAGCAAATAGAAATTTTGAGCTGCATTTGTTGTAAATTCAGCCAAACAGCGCAAATGAAGCCCGGGGCAGATTAGAACGTCCTTCTTCTCCTGTCCCCAGCATCTGGCCTCTGTGTACAGAGTGAAATAAGTCACTCTACCTCTAAGAATTGAACTAGTCTCTGAAATGCCATTAACACAGAAATCATGGTTGGCTGAGGTGAGATTCCAGCTCGATAGTACAGAGCGCCATCTAGTGGTTTCT